CGAAGTCTGATCAACTTCATGTCATTGGATACTCCAATTTTGTAGGTTGCCCTGACGACCATAAGTCTACTTCAGGCTTTATTTTTATGATGGCAGGAGGAGCTGTATCTTGGAAAAGTGTCAAATAGATAGTTATAGCTACTTCTACTATGAAAACAAAGTATGTCGCTTGTTATGAGGCTACACGCTAGGCTATGTGACTAAAGAATTTGATTTCTGGCTTCCACATTATTAACAGTATATTTAGGCCACTTGTGATTTATTGCGACAATACTGCTGCTATACTTCTCTCTTAGAATAATAAGAGTTCTACTCGTTTGAAACACTTTGATCTAAAGTATTTGTTTGTTAGAGAGAAAGTACTTGAGTTTTAGACTCAAATTGTGTACATTGCTACAAAGAACATGTTCGCATATCCACTAACCAAAGGCTTAACCATTGGAGCTTTTTAGAATCATGTAGCTCATATGAGTCTGGTCAAGTCTTTTGATATTTTGGATTAGTGGGAGTTAAATTTTGTATTTGTTTGTTGACATTATTATCTAATTTCTTTATGAGATATATGTTTTGTTGACGTCACTTTTATGACAATCTTTTTATACTTGGACCTTTGTGAAAATGATATTTATGTTTCCTTTATCTATATTGTGATTGGAATATAAGTTGCTTGTAGTATGTAATGTATATCCCTATCGGATATAATTGTATACTATCAAGAGCTTACTATTTCTTTGGTGATAATTAATAACTTGTTACGACAATATAGTTTGTGGACTTAGTAATTTAATAATGCTATTCAAGTGGGAGAATGTTAGATTTTTTAACATTAATATTAATATTTATACTAATTTATGGATTAGCATTATTAAATTATTATGGTTATATTGTTATTAATTATGACGTAAAATAAATGTGTATAATAATAATAATTATTATTATATAGATTTTGTAGTTGGGCTCTTAGTGTGAATAGTACGTGATGGGTTTGACTATTCTATGTGCCCAGTGAGAGGTTCCTGCTCTCATCTGATTAGGCTTATATAACTGTTGCCCCATTAGACAGTTACCAGTGTAGGATAATAGCAATCAGATAAGAGAGTAGTACACACTCACTCAAAACAAGGATTGCTTATGACTCATAGGTTCTCATCAGGTACGCGTTTAACGCAATTATTCAATTATATATAGTTGAAATTGTATTGAGTTGTTATGATGTGTATTATATATAATTGTGTTATCTTTAATAATTATATTTAAAATTCCTGCACTTGATGTCAAAGGCGTGACTAAGCTATTACCACATGGTATAGGTGCATAAAATGCTAGGAGTGGTAGAAATTGTGTTCGAGTGAGTTAGATCTTATATCTAACTCATTAATATATTAGACCATTGATGTTTTAAGATAATTAATTTTAAGTTTTGAGTTTTCATTGATTGATATAAAATAATTGTAAGCTCAATTATCACATAAGTGTCAGTGTTTAGTTTTAGATGTGGTTTCAACATGAAGTTGATGTTGCTCTAATGTTGTGTGCAAATATTTCGTCTAAAGAAGATGTTTTTAAAAAAAAACTTCAAAGTTTAAGTTAAAAAGAGTTTAAGGAAAGATATTTTGAGTATGATTTAGAGAGAGTAATATACGTAATATTCAGGTGTCCTTCTCTTTATATAGGTGTTGATTTCTTTAAGTTTTGATCCATGATATTAGTAGTGAGTTTTGGTCTTTCATTACTATACTCGTATTGAGCTCACAAAGGTGTAAAAAGAGATTTTTTATTTGAAAAAATGTGAATGAAAATAAAAAAGAGATTTTTTACGATGGCGTGGTACAGAAAAAAAAAATCTGACAAAGGTACCCTATATTTTTAGTTGGTATGAAAACGATGATTTTTCACCAAACTGAAACCCTCACTTTTTGAAAAAAGAAAGAAAAAAGTTCAACATAGATAAAGAGTGGACATCTGTGCATGTTCAGTAATTTGAAATTATTATCGGTGTTAAAAAAAAAAGGTCCATTCTACCGGTATAAATATCTAATTAAAAGATTAAAATGATAAAGTTCAAATATAAAGGTCCGTTGGAGCTGTAAGAAAAGTAGAGAGAGCAGTATGTGTGGATAATTTAACCTTACTGAAGATGCAATTATATTGAATTATTACACGTGATCTTGAAAGTAACCCTGCACCCAACAGGAACAGCGTCTGGTCTTGGTGCATGCCGCCACAGAGCTGCAATTTGTACGTCAACAATCAACGAGTGGTGCCTAATATTTAGCGGGCTTTCTCATTTCGAATCCAAATGCTTTGAAAATTATAGACGTAAGGTTTCAGTTTCATGCCCATATGTATTATTGTACTCCTCTGTCCTTACGCTTTCCGACAAATTCATCACATTCTTCCCTCCCTGCCCTCTCAGCTATGGTTAAACACCACTTTTTATATTCATTGCTAACTAAGATTTGTGACAAGGTAGATAAACAAATGCTAATTAACACCCTTAAGACACTTGTTAAAATATTATAAGTCAAAAATTTTCGTTACTAAAAATTTATATTTTTAAACAATGTCTTTAGAGTAATATTTTTTCTTAAGGAATATTTTATGATATGACTGTAATATTGAATAAGAAAAAGTCTCTATATGATGGCTTGTTCATGCTATGGTGATTTGTAAGATAGGTTATTTTAGCTAAATATGTTTTTGGGATGTGATGATAAGGCCGTGATCACCGGGCAAAGAAAAGCCGCGTTCAGTTCCTTTCTAGTTAACAGACAAATCAATCACCATGCCTGTCCCTAGCTAGTTTTGCTGCATTCAACACTGAGTATTGATAAAAAACACAAATTAAAAGAAAAGAACAAAACAAAACAGAGGAATGAGTGAAAGAGAAAATCTAAAACATGATTGATTCATTATTCACAATATTCAATTCTCTTCCTATTAAATCATATTTATCCAGTCTCGCCTTCCAATCAGGAGTGATAGTTGGAAAATAACTGCACAAAATTATCAGTGGTGGGTGGGTGGGTGGGATGAGTGATAACATTTGCATATAATTTTATTAAATAAAAAATATAGCTGTGCGAAGAAAAATAAATATTTTTTTATAAATTTGAATTTATTATAATTAATTATAAGAACTATTAATTAAATTTATAATATATATTTTTAATCATTATACCACATTACTTGTCAATATGAGAGCATTTAAATGTATGTATATAAATTAAGAGATTTATAAAGATTAAATTAATCTTAAAATTTTAAAACAACAATAGTTTCAAAATATAAGTATAAATATTGGTCATGCAATGAAAGGCATATTTGAGTGGGATGTAGTTTGATCTGAATTAGTTTATGAATAATATTTAATTTAATACTTGCACATGTCGAATTGAATTAATTACTTCAATTTTTAAATAATATTTTTAAAAAAATATATAAATTCATTTTTATAATACATTGAACAATATAATGATTTTTAAGTTTGAGTTTATTTGAAGGTAAATAAAAAAATTAACACAAATTTAATATATTAGTAGTTTGATTTGATGTTGAATATGACAATCAAATATTAAACTAAATCAAATTATTATACATAAAAAAAACAGTTTAGTGGTTTGAAACTATTCTCAACCAGTACTTAAACATTCTTAGTTTTGAATGAAGAATTATTGTCTAAAATTTTGCTGGTAAAATAAACAGAGAATTATAGCTTTATTGTTACAATTAAAAACTTAAATTTATTAAAAGATGTTTTTTAATAATAAATTCTGAATAGAAATATACATTTTAATCAGCTTTTTAATTGATAAATACTGTACATGTTTTCATAAAGTTAAGTTTTGTTTTAAGTGTGCATGTATATTGATTAATTTTTAAAAAAAATATTTTTTATGTTGCCACAATTTTGTAAAATATCTAAAAAGGAAACAAAAGAAACGTGTATTTAAGTGAAATTGTAAATTGATTATTACAATGATATTGACCTTTTTTCTATTATATTCTATAATTTCGACTAGTCTTTAAGATGAAATGAGAACTCTATGTTGGCAATACAACATTATTCTGTCTCTTTAAAAGAAACTCTTATTTAAAATTGTATAAAAAATAACAATGGTATTAAACTTCTATACACACCGCGCGTGTTAAAAAAATAATTTATCCTCCAAACTAACAACGCTATCATTGGAATCTTAGTGAGAATAGTCGCACAAAATAAAAATATACACTAAACCAATAATAATATAGATCCAATCGAATATATTTTATAAAAGATATATAATGGTTTAAAAATGAAAAAAAGCATTATTATTTGAAATTAATTTATTAATTAATATTTAAGGTATTAATCAACAATATATTTTATAAAAATAGAGCACATTTGTGATTAAATGATTCAAGAATCTTAATTAGAATGAAATGCTATTATTATATATGGAGGAAAAATATATATGAGCTGGTGTCCGATCACATGTTAGTGGAAATGGTTTCTGGCAATAAAATTCCAGGTGACCTACAGCTGTATCACGACGCGCATAGGAAATTACGAGAGAGCCCTTCAGATAACTTCATCCGTGTCTCTCAGTTTCTTCACTCACATGTGCGCCGCTAATGTCATCGCTGTTCTGTCTTTGAACCCATGCCATGCCAGCTCAACACCGAACTACACCTCGTAGAGCAACACCAACAACCTGAGGACATAAATTCTTCAAAACAACGTTATTTGTCATATCATAAAATAATAGAAAACACTTTCATCCTCTTTTTAATTTGCAACTTAAAAGCATATAAAATATAAAACATTATTTCAAGTGCTAAAGAACTGAATTATTCTTCAGTAAATTTTTTATCTAAATTAAAATTTTGCAAATGATAACCCTCTCCAACGGTCACTGACTTACCACATACATATAGGACAAAGACTGTAAAATCTCGCACTCTGTCAACTTGCCCCTATTTACTAAGGTCGCCTATGTGGTTCCCTTCAAATAAGGAGGTTGTACCCGTAATTTGACACCAATGAACAGGAAGAGTAAGAACTGAGAAGAGAAGAGGTTCCTTCTGTGTCATTGGATGTATAGAGTGGAGTAATGGGCGAGTCAAGTGACTCTGTTTCCATCGACATTGATTTGATTCCTTTAGGAGGGAAGGTAATGGAACTTTTAACTAGTGAGAAACGTGAAGAGAAGCATTTAGCTTGTGTTCTGTGACAATGTAATGGAACTGGAGTGGAATTTGTGTCATAATCGTGTCGTGTGGTTAACGTGGATTTGATTGTGCTTTTGCAGGAATACACTGTGAAAACAAGTAAAGGTTCTGTGTTTGTGCTTGTTTGTGGGGATCAAGAAAAACCCGCTCTAATTACCTACCCAGATGTTGCTCTCAATTGTAACTAACCTTCTTGTTTACTTTGCTTTTTTTTTTCATATATTCAATATGAATATGGATGAACGAGTATCCTCAAATCGTTTCTATTTTACCTCCACACAAAATGCTCAAGTGTGTTGAATCAGAAACAAAGCAGCATTTGTTTGTGCAATCTTGGAGTCCTATATAATTGCCACAACTTGCTTTCTGTTTCACGATTTTTGCAGATGTGTCCTGTTTCCAGGGCCTGTTGTTCTGCCCAGATGCAGCTTCTTTGTTGCTTCATAACTTTTGCATTTATCACATTGATGCTCCGGGGCATGAGGTCGGTATTATCATTCTTCTTTTTATTCCTAGTAGTACTCTCCTTCCTTCAAGTCATTGAGTTATTATTAGTGCAATTACTGGCTAATGAGGAGCTTTAATTCTATAGAATTCGAATCCATGTTTTACATCGAGAAGGGCTAGGGAGTTAACTTCTCCTAGAGGATTGAAATAAAGTGGTAGGAGACATGTATGTACACATAGGCTTTTCCATGAAATATTTTTTATTAATCTGTAATAATAGCTCTGAGTTTATTTGCATATAGAAGTTCAAGGGTGCTCTTCTCTCCTAGACTACTATAATTTGACTCTCTTCTCATTTGTTTAAGAGTTATTGCAGTTGGGAGCTGATGTGATTTCTTCAGATGAACCATTACTCTGCGTGGATGACCTTGCTGACCAGGTTGCAGAAGTGCTTGATTTCTTTGGGTATGTAGAGCATCAGCTATTCACCTTTTCTCTTTAAGTAAAGGTTCAGTTTCTGACAGAGGAGTGGACCATTAGAAAGAAAGTATTCCCCTATTGTTTTCACAGGGAGAATGTGATAGCTCTTGATGACATGCACTACGTAGTAACAAGTAAATAGATTAATTGTGCATTGCTGGATAGATTAAACAAAGTGGAGTGAGTACATTGCATGTAACTGACTTCACCTAGTGGGATAAGGCTTTTGTTCTTCTTGTCTTTGAAGTGAGTAAATGTATGGTATCTTTGTGTAAAGAAACTTGAGCATTTGCATACCGAATACATTTTAGGTTACTGAAACAAACCACTTTCATATTCTCACTTGGATTAGTATTTTAACCCTTGTCCAACTTAAATCAGGCTAAGGGAAGTTCTGTGCTTGGGTGTAACAGCTGGTGCTTACATTCTGACGCTATTTGCTGTAAGAAGTTGGCAATTGTGAATTATAATTTTATCTACTATAATAATCTAGTATAAACCATCATGCCATGCCTTTTCTCATTTGACAGATGAAATACAAAGAACGAGTCCTTGGATTGATTCTTGTTTCACCTATATGTAAAGCACCTTCATGGACTGAATGGCTTTACAACAAGGTTTAATCTCTGTCAGCTTGGCCTTTATCACATGTTATTTATTGAAGTATCTGCGACCTAGATTAAGGAATTAAGTAACCCTTTAACTAACAAGGATGGCCTACTTATTTAATAAACAGAAAAAACTATATGAAAACTATATTTGTATCTGACAAAGCAAAAAAGTCCATGTCAGCATCATTGGCCGTCAATTCGTTAGTTATCTTACCTCAGAAGTTAAACCAATAAAAATAAGAAAATTGATTACCATTGTAAAGATCTACCTAAGGTTTTCTATATCCATTCATGCAGGTCTTAATGAATTTACTTTACTTCTATGGTATGTGTGGTTTACTGAAGGAATGCCTTTTGCAGCGGTACTTCAGTAAGGTATTCTTCCCGTTCTTTAGCCCGTCATTATGAAGGTAGGATCTTTTCTGTATGTGACGTTACTTCTCTACATTTGTTATAGGAACTTAGATGCAGTGTTCAGGGAGCAGAATCAGACATAATCCTGACCTGCCGAAGGGTATGGACATCTCAATAGTATACATATATATTGCCTCCAGTATACATGCACTACCTGCAAGTTTGGATAGTTTTGTATATGTAGAATTCTCACATGTGGATTTTTTTCTCTGATCCATAATCACAGCTTCTGGAGGAAAGGCAAAGTTTGAATGTTATGCGTTTTCTTCAAGCAATTAATGCGTAAGTTACACTGTTTATACAAACGTTGATTCTTTTAATTTTACTTTCTCCTGGTCCCTCCATTTTTCCCCTCTAGGTATTCAATCCATGCGAGCCATTGTATACTATCACCAAACCGTGTAACTGCTGATTCCTGTTATTATTGATGATACCATAACTTAGATAGCTGCATAGGTAGTGCAAGCAAGTTGTTAGATAATTCTTTTCTACAATTAGGATTTGCATGGTAAAGTTCTTATCACGCCTAGTTGATTTTGTGGGTGAACCAAGTCCCTAGTCTGGGGGATATTTGGAGGACTAATGTGGCATGTAAAACAAAAAAGCGATTACATATGAATGTTATTCCTTATATAGATATTGTCCTATGACATTATATCCCACATAGCATAATTTCAATAAAATGCTGGAAATATAAAAACCTTAGAAAAGTTGTAAATTGTTTCAATGATTTATTACCAAAGTGCTTAACTGATTGAATTGCAGAAGGCGTGACCTCACCAAGGATCTGAAGGACTTGCAATGTAAGACACTTATATTTGCGGGCGATAGTAGTCCTTTCCATGCTGAATCTGTGTACATGAGTGCGAAAATGGACAACAAAATCTGCGCACTAGTTGAGGTAGGTAGTACACTCATTGTATGAATCAACATAAAATACTTAACAGCCTCCTAGAATCTAGTTGAGAAAGACAAACAGAAGTAATATAACTTATTTATAATGCTTATTACTTGCTCAGGTTCAGGCTTGTGGCTCACTAGTAACTGAAGAGCACCCATATTCCATGATAATACCACTTGAGTGTTTCTTAATGGGTTTTGGCTACCACAGACAACTACATGTTGCTTCCTCATCAAGCAATGGGTCAAATCCAACAAGCCCCTCTAGTCATTCTTGCATAGCACCAGAACTTCTCTCCCTAGAGAGTTTGGGAATTAAGCTGAAGCCCATCAGAACCCGTGTTGATGTTGAAATCTAACTTAGTCCAGCTCAAAGGTTGACAAACCCAATGCAGCAAGGAGTAAGCTCTTTTTTATTGCACATAATTTATAGCAATTGTTGAATGTACAACATCGCTAGTGTAGGACATATTCTTTGATTATGTTGGTGGACTAGTGATTTTGTTTGCAAAATGGATGTTTTTCCTGCCAGTGTAAAAAAGTAGGAGGTACCTTATAGTTGACAATAGGATTATTCTTTTACGAATGTTGTTTTTGAGGTAGGTCTCTCAGCAAAGTCTATTATGGAACTAGCTGTACACCTTACTGCTTTTCCGGTTTATAAAGAACCTCAAGAGACCAAGAGATAACGGATGTTTGTTGTTGCTGTTGCTGTTTTTTGAAGTATATGGACAAAATTTATTGTTAACTTTTGTCATTATTTCACTATTACAGTTAATTGAGGTTCTTCCGTTCTCTCTTGCATTACAAGTACAATTAGATGTCTTCCTCATCTAGTATAACTAATCAATTAGCGCCTTGGCTCAAATCGATCGTGACCACAAGAATTACCCCCGTCAAATTTGAGATGGTCCCCAAGGGGTAATTCCTTCTCAAATGCAAATTTTGGACCCACAAATTTCGGGTTATAGTTCATTTAACAGATAAAAAAAAAATGGGTCAGATGAGAGAAATAAGAATCTCCATTCAATAAAGGAGGGGATTTGAAATAAATCACTTCCTGTGATGTTTGACTTACAACTTACACAAGCAATACTCAATTTACTATAGTTCGGTTAGAATGGAAATTCGGAGCAATGTTAGGAAATTGAATAGTAATATACTATAAATAATGCTCACTCTATGGTTAGTGGTTTAGATAATGCTTACTCTCCTTAGAATGATCCTCTATTCTATGTACATGAAAACCTCAACGAAGAAAGAGGAATTTCATTTATAAATTAACCACGAAACCTTGGACCAGTAAGATGATAAGCTCACGATCACGAAACCTTGGGCCAATGGCACGAGTTAACTTGCCCAACCTTCCCAAGAAGGAAGAAGGATGAGATGATGGACATGTATGGGCTAACTAAAATACATGAATAGAGGGTTTACAAATCACAACTGCAATATGAAATTAACAGCAACAAAAAGAAAATAACAGAAAGAAAGGAAGACATTTAATTTAATCTAATTTGTATGATCATCCCTATTCCCCGTCGATTCTGGTTAATACAATTGTTAGTTATATGGGCACATATCTTTTCAAAGCTTGCTTTCCGGCAACAGCCGCGGCCGCCGCGATTCCGCCGATGGCACCGGCAATAGCAGCCGATCGGGGCCCCGCGGCGGCTCGGTAGAGCGCTCCGGTGCCCAGTCCGGCGACGGCGCTGTTGACCAAGTCATCCCTGCCCCTGAAGTGGATCATCCCGCTCTCCAGGCCCGCGAAAATCAGGCCCAACACGCCCAGCGAGTTCCCCACTCTTCGACCCGCCTGACCCCCCGAGTTCAGGACTCGGTTCAGTCGGAGCTTGAGCGAGTCGCCGGACTCCGCATCCCTGAGGCCTTGAACGGTGCCCTTAGCGGCACCGATTATGGCGCCGGAGAGGTAGCCGGAGCCGGTGTAGTACTGGAGGTTGTCGCCCCAGGAACGATGAGTCCTGGTAGCTTCTTCGTGGAAGAGGAGCTCCGGTGAGGTGGGGAGATTGTAGAGCTTCTGGATGGGAACGTCGAGGTCTTGGTAGGGATGGTAAACGCGCGCTTTCTGGTCCTTTGAAGAATCCGCCATCGCCGTCTAAGAATGGTTGCAATTGTAGGAGAACGAGGGCGTAGGGTTTATGAACGATCAATACCAAGGGTTTTGTAAATAAAACTCTCTTTTTTATAAGCCATCCTATTAGGAACCTTTAAGAGAGCTTTGAAAAGCAGTCATTCTAATACTAAAGTGGGATGGTGGGAGATTTATCATAAAAATAAAGTAATGAGTTATAATTATTTATTTTAAAAATTAATATTAAATCATTACAAAATATTATTATATATGTGTTTGAGTAAAATTATAATTTGTAAATGTTCTATTTATTTTGGAAGAGTTAAATATCTTCTTGTTTTATTTAAATAAAGTTCGTAATTTATTTTTATGACTTAAGTTAACAAATAAAATATTCATTTGTTAAATTTTTTTTTAATTTTTTAATAGGTTTTATTGTTATTTTTTTTATGTAAAATGTATATTTATAAATGTTTCGACTTATTTAATACTAATAGTATTAGTATTGTAAATAAAATTGAAATACATTAAAAACAAAATATGAATAAATTCAGCATACCATGGTATTATTTAAAAAAGTTCTCAAAATAGTTTACGGGGAGAGATAACATAAAAAATCGAAATTACTTGAAGTGTAATTTAAATTGATTTGTTGAATATTTTTATCGTTAAAAATCACAATTTAAATATTATGAGAATAACATTTTAAGCTAATAATTGTATATTTTATAATAAATAATATTTAATTTATTAAAAATGAGTACACGTTAATTCAATTTTAAAAAAATTCAATTGTTGTTAATAATAAAAATAATAAAGCATCGATACGTAGATAAATAAAACCTTAAAATTGAAATTATTATATATATTTTTTTTTCTTGTAGGGCATTCTTAACGGGAAAGCAAAAATCGAATAACTTGGAAAAATAAAAATAAATTCAATTTAAAAAATCTGACTAAGATATATCCCATTGAAGATTGAAGAAGTCACCGCGGAGCTTTCAACCATTTGTTTGCATTTTCTACAATATATTCTCTATCATTCCAAGTTCGTTCTTGTTAACACCTAACAAGCATGCTTCGTGACCAATGCTGCTGCTTTTTTTTAAGTTTCAGGAGATAGTCATATTCTACAAATTTTTAACGCAAGAATTTGAAGAGATTGGAACAGAAGGGAAAGAAATGTATACGTCTGAGAAACAGAGTCCTTGTGCTTCCGAAAGGAGAGGACTAGATAGAAATATGTGACATCAAAATTTTAAGTGAAGAATGCTTTCATTTTAATTTTTTTTAGTTTTGATAGTTTATAAAATATAAAAATGATAGATAATCTTATGTTAAAAAATAATATATTAAAAGATTCAAAATTTTAAGTTATTTTTTAGTCAGTATATTTTTTATATCATTTATTTGATTTTTTTTAATTTTTTCTTCTATTCATCTAAATATTAATTCATTGTACCATTGATGTCACATATTTACCAAAGGCAAAAACACCACTTAATATTGATTTAGATCTTTCTGCAAATTATGGATTCAATTTGAACAATTTTCCAGAAGAGGAAGATGAAAGTTCATACGAAAAGGTCATCAAAGATGAAGTTAAGGTCATGTTTAAGATTTTATTTCCAGAATTTTACTCAAAATGCAGACAATAGAGTTGAAAATGACTCATGGATAAAAACTTGTAAAAGGAATTAGTTTGCATTTGTCTCTTCTTTTTTTTTTTTTACCTTTTAAAAAAATTCATATAATTTGGCATCTCATTATGGTAGATGTAATTTTTTTTATTGTTTTACTTTACTAAAAATAAAAGGCAAAATGATAATTTTAAAAATGACACGTAAAAATGAAAGTAAAGTAATTTTAAACAAGATAAACTAAAAGTTGGTCTTTAAGAGTGTTTATATTATGCAAACTATTATAATCTAAAAAGTGATGTTAAATGACTCATTGTAGTATTTAAAAACTATATAAATAGTGAAGTACATCCTCCACCAATTGGAGATCACATTTCAATTGCACATACAATTGTTTTGTTTTGTTTTTCTAATATTGCTTTCTTTAAATGCGAAATCTTGTAGTTGTAAAAACCTCTTGCTTTCATGATTTCAATCACACAAGATTGCAATGTTAATAATATATGATTTGATTTCAAAACTGTAAATGCTTAAAATGACCTTTCACCTGCATCCACTAGCTCATCAATAGATTTAGGACACTCCTTATGTTGTACAAATTGGATTGCACTAAAAAAAAACTAAGATCTAAGACATTTAAATTGGAGAATTTGTTGGCTAGCGCATCAAATAAATACCAAACATATCTTGGGATGCTATTCGAAAAAATTATTTATCTTCTGAATTAATAAGTCTATATTTTAATATATTTTATAACTTATATTTATACACTTAAACTCTATTTTATATATATTTACATTAATTATCACTACTAGAAAATCTGCAAATATAGACAAATTTTTTTATTATTACAGATAAATTTTAGTATTACAGACAAATTTATAGACAGTTACAGTCTGTCTGTAATATGCGCATCGGTAAATAATTACAGATAGAAAAATTTGTCTGTAATTACAGACATAAAAATCCGTTTGTAATTCATTTATGAAAATTTTGTAAAATTGTTTCATTTTTTTATAAACATAATTATTCCTCTCTGTTCCTAATTATCACAATTCATAAACATAATAAAAACTACAAAATTATATATTTAAATCAGAAATTATTTATAAAATGTAAAATTAAAATGTCATTACAAATGAAGAAGTAAACATCTAAAAAAATAATATCAAAAATAAAATAACATTGTATATCACTAATAATCGGTGTGATCATCTTTCGAAAAAGTATCGTCATTAGTAGAGAAGGAGTCAAAGGAGGAATAACGCATGAAGCTGAAGATTGGTGGTGTTGAAGTTGGTGAAAGAGGAGGAAGAGGTGTAGAAGTGCTTGCTTTCATGACTTCAAAGTATGCATGCATCTACTGTATCTGCATATGCTGTTGTTGCATCTGTTGCTGCACTTCCCTTTGCATCCTTGATGCCACCTTCTTCTCTATCTTCTTCTCCATTTTCTTCGCCCACTTCTTCTCCATTTTTTTTTGCCATGGTTAGAATGTTGAGTAACACTTTTTTTACCTTTACCTGTCATATCTGAATCAAATCTAATACATGTTTAGAGACCAAATATACAAATACACAATTGTATCAACCTTTTATTATACATTACACAAATTTCTAATATAAATTTTGGCAGAATCTTCCCTAATATATGAATATTTCCTTATATTTGTTTACACTTAATACAACAAATTTCTAATATAAATTTTGGCAGAATCTCCTCTAATATATGAATATTTTCTTATATTTGTTTACACTTAATACAAGAAATTTCTAATGTAAATTTTGGCAGAATATCTCTTAATAAAACAATATTTTCTTACATTTGTTTACACATACTTAATATAAAAATCTAAATTTTCTTTACACATAATCTATATATTATGTAACAAACTATTAATCAATGTATCAAAAACATTCACATTATAATTCTAAACTGTTCTAGAGCACATCTCCTTATAACTTCACAACATGTATATTCTACAAACTCCGCAAACACAAAGAATCTCACAGCATACAATAATCAGGTTCGGAGAATGATCTCTACGCCCTTCCCCCAATCATACAATCTTCAATCCTATAACTCTATCTTAGAAATTTTAAGTCTCTAAAATACATCAAAAATAAAAAAACTAAACCGATTAAAAGTTAGAGTATCGTACCAGGAACACAATGATGCAAATTATCTTTCAAAAGGATGCTTCAATCACTCGCAAAGGCAAAAAAACTGAAGTTCCTAGAGAGAGAGAGTAAATTATGTAAAATGAGGAAGGAGGAGTCACAGTTTTAAGGATTTCACACGTTACAAACAAAAAAATCTGTCTGTAAATAGTTTAATGAAACGTCTTTAAATTCGTCAAGTCCAGTTACAGAAGGAAAAATTTGTCTGTAAATCGCCAGATAAAAAGTCAGTCAAAAAGGGCAATATTTACAGACAAATTTTTCTGTCTGTAACTCCCGCTCCAAATTTTCCTCCCATTTTCAAATTACAGACGAAAAAATCTATCTATAATTCTTGTCTCTATTATTTTGCGCCAAATGGCGGGTAAGCTACAGACAGCTATTACAGACAGATTTTTATCTGTTTGTATTACAGACGACCATTACAGATGGATAAAAATTTGTCTATATTACAGACGGATTTATAGACATATTTTTCAAAAAAAATTTAAAAAAAATTCACAAATCTGTCTGTAAAGCATTACATACGGATAATGGCCATCTATAAAGGGCACTTTTCTGGTAGTGTATACTATTAATTATTGCAGTTTAGCTAAAAGTTGTTATCCGTGTATTATAGAAATATTTTAGATAAAAATTAGATAATTTTAGTCCTTGGTCGTGCTATATAAATCTGAGTTTGAATTTAAAATTTAAAATTTAAACTTATATAAAGATTTAGATATGAAGATTTGGAGTGGTTTTCAGTTGAGATTCTAAAGTTAAGATTCTTATTATAGATAAAACCGATTTGAAAATATAGAGCTCAACCTATCAGAAATTCAAGGCACAGTCTATATAAAAAGGTCTTATGCTTCACATTTGAGACACTTTTTTCACTTCATTAGACACACTGTCTTCTCTTTCTTAGTTCTGACTCACTCCACTGTTGAGAGTTATTTGAGATTATTGGCAAAGACAATGAACTCCTTCAAAGTCGGAGCGAGTGATTGAGCACCTCTTGAAGAACGAGAACTCTTTTCATCTTTTTTCCTTTTGGCTTTCTCTTGTTTGAATTTTTCTTTGTGTTTTATGGATTGATTTATTATGTTTTTCGTTGTATATTTTATTATGAGTAACTAAATTCATAGCTAGGGCAATGAGAGATTCTATTACATACTTTGTATGATTTTTACTTTTAATATCAGTATTGGTTTTCCTTTATTATTTGGATTTTCTCCTACTAAATCATATTGTACATGTTAAGAATTGATCACCCTTAGCATTTCATAATTAGTTACATCATAAGTGATCGTACTACGTGTAATTAATGGAACTATAAGATAAAACGAGATAAGGAGTTAAGTTAATCACATTTAATTCCTCTCTTTCAATCATTATTAGATTCACAAACTCATAGAGTCTTTATACTTTCTCAACCATTTGTCTTGCATGATCATTGAGAGTAATTGCTCAGGAAAAATAATATTAACATTGCATGATCATTTGATATTAATAGAACCAGTATGAGTGGTTGACAATTATTCGGATACTAATACAATTAAAATAATCAAAACATAAAGAAGTGTAATAGGTGAAACTAGAAGTCCTACGCTCATCTCATTCGATTTCTCTCATACGTTGCATTATTGCCCTCTTTAATTAATTGTTAACATTAAATCTTATTTTTAATCCATCACACTCCCTTTGCGTTTAAACAATCGAATCAAAATATATTTTGTACTTAAAAATAATCTTTGTGGGACAATAACTTAAGAATTCTTTTTAAAAACCCTTTATTACTTTTTTACAGGTATATTTGTCCACTAACAAGAATCAATATGTATTTTTGCATTAACTTTTTGAATAAATATTAGACAAACAATTTCTTTTCTTAGTCATATTTCCTTGATGGTAGGTAAGACTTTCTCAACAAAAAAAATCTTTTTATAATTTCTTTTCCAATCGATTATATTAGTTTCATCTCAAGTGTACTTATAATTCTATTAACACTACTCCTTTTAGCTTTCTCTCGAGTAATGGAAGGAAATACATCAAATTATTTTTTTCTCAAATGTTACATTTCCTTGCGCATTAAATCTTGGACGAGCTTGTGCAACCAAAAACATGATTTTTAAAATGAAATTTTTACTTTTGCAAGAGTGTGTGGATCTTCTTCATCCTGAAGTAAATAAAAAATTTTAGACATTTTTGTCATTTGAAATCACTTTTCATCAATGTGGATGATGTTATACATCTCCACAAAAGTTGGATCATGTGGCAACTATCAAGAATTGATATGCAAAATTCTAGTATAACCCTATAAAAAATCACTATTAATTTTTGCATCATTTTTTTTCCTGGGTCAAACAAGGTTTTATAGCACTTGTGTCTTTGTATTTCTCTTGACTTTATACTTCTATGTATTGTTCCTATACTTGTTCCTAATGCATGATCAAGAGACGTAATAGTTATCCTTTTATGCAAAAGAATCTCATGAACTTAGTTAAAGTCAACTTGAATTCTCTTGTGGTCACAATTTACCCTTTTATGAGAAACATCGCATAACCTCCTTTATTTTGAGCAAGTTTCCAAATGCATTAAATAGTGTATATATAAACTTCAAACTGTGATGCCAATAATTTAGCCACCCATTTTTTCAATTTTCCATTTTCCATCAATACTTTTCTCTAATAAATCCTAATACATGGTCCTTCTTTTGACATTAAACAAAAATAGTCTTTCATACTTTTGCTGATTCCAAATTTATTAAATCATCATCATTATTTTCATCTATAGGTAAGACAAATATTAAAAATTAATTATTGAAAAGAATATAAATAAATAAATAAATAAAATACATAACAAATAATGGAATGGTAAGAAACATGATACCAAAATCCATTTTGACATCTTCATAAGCATTATCCTCTACATCATACTCTTCGTATGGTTTTTATCATACGTAGTTAAGAAAAATATTTTTGTGAACTAGATACTATTATAGATTAAATATTAAAAAGATATACAAAAATACATGACAAAAATAAAATACTTAAAAATGATACCCAAATCTAACTCGATATTTTCATGTGCATTATTTTGAGCATCTTCCTCTTCATATGGTTGACCTTCTATAATTAAAAAAACCATTACAGTGAATTAGATAATGTTATAGATTAAAATTTTGAAATAATATAAATAAATATAAAAATACAATAACTTATAATATGTTCACATTACTAATCGTAGAGAGTTTTATAAATAGCATATAAATTAGTTATTTTACGTAGAAAATCTATTTTCACATTACTATTCTCATGTTTGAAAATTCTCTATAGTAATACAGTGACAATTTACCTATTAAACAATATTAAAAAATTAGTTCAAGTTACAATCTATTAATTAAAATATACCTATTGAAGAAAGATCGTAACTATTATCATATTCCACACTCTAAATATAAAATAAATAAATTATAATAAAAAGCTATCTCGTATTATATATCAATATGCCGAGAGAATTTTCATTTAAGTGTATATCAAAATCATCAAATGGTTGAATGTATAAATCATTGATTTTGAATATGATAATATAAGATGAGTTTCATTGGTTTTGAAGTTGAGAGTCTTCCTTATCAATTTCATTGATTTTGAAGTTGAGAGAGCCAATTCAAACTTTACTCTACAAGAATAAATTTAGTCCATACAATAATTAGCTTAAAGTTAAAATTTCAAGTAGTTGAATATTTTAGCAAGAGTACTAGTGTTTAATTAGAGATAAAAGAATTATTTTTAAAATGGAGGTAGTAATTTATAATTTTTCAGTTGTTTCAGCTTTGAGTCTTTGAACTAACAGCGAATCGATGTTGACAGTTTTTAAATCTCAATTTTATAATTTTTTTAAAAAATACTACATTTTAGTATATATTATTTTTAAAATCCATATTTAAAATAATTAACCACATCTCCATTTTCTTCACCTCTAACTACATCCGCCCAGGAAAAGTCTTGGATAAAATTGAAGAAGCAATAGAGAAGACAAAGCCATATCTAGATGGAACCAAAACTCTATTCCAAGACTAGGTGTATAATTAAGAGAGAGAGAGAGAGAGAGAAGTTTTTTAAAAAACTAAATGCGCCCCCAAGCCCCTCACTGTTACTAGCATTGGTACAAGTTGCAGCCAATTCCGGTCAAATGGGTCAAAACTCAAAAAAGTAGAGGAAATACTGGCAGGTACGAAGGGCCGAGATTGAGCCAATGTAACAACCACAAGAAGAAATTATGAGTGATGACATATCTCTTTCCACAACTCATTGCAAGCTGGTTAAAACTTGCAACTTTAACCGCTTGCATCACCCATTTCTCATATCCCTCACCTCCTACCTCTCAGCCCAAAGTTTGTTCTTTTCTGTTCTCTTAATTTCTTTTTCTTAATCATGCTTAACCTTAACCATGTTTAATCTCACCATTATTGTAAGTTCTCATTCAATTTCTTTTCTTTTCACCATTCTTATATGGCAATATATGTTTATGATTAAATACTTTATGGGTAGGTGGAAATCTTAATGGAGGAAGATGAAAAGAAACAACCAAACGAAGGAGGGGAAAAAAGTGCATGGTGATGCTGAGATCATAGAAATAAACAGACTCTTAAAAATGCAAACTCGCAGAAAGGGAAAGTAAATCCTTGAAGGTGGGGGAAATATTCTTATTGTTGGTGTTCTTAGATCCAAACTATACATGTAATAGTAGGGCCAACATATCCATCAATAAATTGAAATATCTTAACTTCTTAACCAGAGTATAGAGCTAAGGGCATTCCTCTAAGAGAAGAAGGGGTCTGTGATGAAGCTGTACTATAGCACTGTATCCTTTGTACCATGTGAAGATTCCCATCCTTAAATAATTGGTCCCATTCTCTGCATGTTTTCACGTGTCCTGCCATCCGGATGCCGTTAATTACACCATCATGAGCATCAGCTACTGCATAGGATTCGAATGGCCCAGTGACAACCAAAACTATTTATTTCTTTTTTATTTATTTTTCAAGTATCATTTTCCATCCCAGTCCCCTCCCAACTACACTCATCTCCCAAGCGCGTCCTCTTCAATCCCCAATCATACATGCCATAATACAACCCCCTCTCTCCTCTCTCTTCCTCCCCTCTTATTCAAGGAATTCCTTTCACTTCCTCATTAACCACAAACTACTAACACCATGACACATACCATACTTTTATTCTTTAGATTCACTTATATCCTTTAATTTAGGATATATATACTGGCGCCAATTACTCTTGCTTAAAGCATGTGATTTGTGAGGTTGAGACTCATCCTAGCTACCTAAAATTTTCTCACAGGAAGGAATTGCAATGCATGATAAAGATGACTTTGTATTTTGCTTGAAAATAGAAAAAAGGCTAAAGTGCATTGAATATGCCTTTTATTTATAACGTGGTTTGATTGACTTGTTCAAGGAAACCACATTTTTATTATTATATAGAATATTATCTGTTTGGGGTGGTGAGTTCACTTTCTTCTAAAAGGGTGTGGTGGTGGGCTATCTTTTCCCTTCCATGCAAGGACAAATTCTTTGATAAATGTGAGAAAGAGAGAGAGAGAGAGAGACAGAAAACACACACAGAGAGAGAAAGAGAGAGAGAGGGTTGGTGTTTTGTAAAGTTGCTTGTAGCATATTTTGCCGATTTACAGTGAGCACAGGAAGGAGGAGGTAAAGAAGAGAGAGCTCTTAACACAAAACACAAACATGTTCGATGGAGTACCAGACCAGTTCCACCAATTCATAACTCCAAGAACCTCACTACCTCTTCACTTACCCTTCCCTCTCCATGCTTCAGGCACCCCCAATACCACCTTCCCTACAAATTTTGATCCTTATAACCCTCCTCATCAATTGCCACTCCAACCCAACCTCTTGCACCCGTTACACCACCACACTTCTTCTACCCACAAAGATGAAGAGAAGGAAGAAAACACCACCGTGTCAATGAACTTCGAAATCCAAAGAGATCCAAGGCAACAATTGCCCGAGCTGATTGATCCATGGAACAACGATGAAGTGCATGCGCTGTTGAGGATCAGATCTAGCATGGAAAGTTGGTTCCCCGAGCTCACTTGGGAACATGTCTCAAGGTATATAATTAACTTAATCATATTGTCCCAATTCAATCTTCTTTTGTGCTAGTGGATCACCTTGGTTAATTTGAACGATCACCCAAAAATTAATGGCAATAAAATGGTTAATAGAAAATTAATTATGAGTTGCACTTTGTGTTTGATCAGTGGTTGCACAGTATATATGCTCACCTAAAACCTTCATGTGGTAGACAAACGCACACGTGCACCTACACTTAAGCTCATACACTGACACCTTTGCACATAAACACACAACCCAAGAGGAACAGGGCTGAGAGGGCCGGCGAGGGAAGGGACGAAAATTGAAGGACGCAACCCATTTTGTCTATTATTACGTGTTGAAGAAACAGGTGCGAATAAATGCTTCATTCTATGGTTGGTTTTTGGATTTATGTATTTATGGTGGGCGCAGGAAACTCGCAGAGCTTGGATACAATAAGAGGAGTGCAGAGAAGTGCAAGGAGAAGTTTGAAGAAGAAAGCAGATATTTCAACAACATTAACTTCGCCAAGAATAACAATTATCGCTTCCTTAGCGAGCTTGAACAGCTTTATCATCAAGGTGAAGGTGGTGATCATCATCAGGGTGGCACCCAAGATAAGACCCATCAGCTGCAAAAACAAGACAAGATGGGCCATCATGCATTAGAACAAGAGGCTCCAAGAAACGTTGAATCAACGCTGGCCAAACAAAGCGAAGAGGTGGTAGTGGATAAGACAAAGGAACGCAAGAGAAAGAGACCCGATAGATTTGAGATGTTCAAGGGTTTTTGCGAGAGCATTGTGCACAAGATGATGGCTCAGCAGGAGGAGATGCACAACAAGCTCCTCCAAGACATGATGAGAAGAGATGAAGAGAAGTTTACAAAAGAGGAAGCTTGGAAGAAGCAAGAGATGGATAAGATGAACAAGGAGCTTGAGATGATGGCACGTGAGCAAGCTATTGCTGGTGATAGACAAGCCAATATAATTGAAATCTTGAAGAAATTCTCAGCAAGTTCCCCTGCAAGCCAGAGCCTTAAGGTAACCAATGGTTCAAATCCAGTTACTCAAAACCCTAATCCTTCTTCTACTATGATTCTAAATCATCTAAACACTGATACCTCTCCCTCACAAAACAATCCAGCTTTACCCACAACAGAAAACCCTAGCTCAAGTCTTGCACATGACACATTGCAAGTTATATCTTCTTCTAACACTTCAGCTCAAGCTCCCCAGAACCCTAGCTCTTCTTCTCTAAATAGCCAGAACAATAATCCACTAGAGAAAAATTCAGTTTTGAATAGAGCCTCCTCAAACTTTGTATCCACCAATGAGAAAGACGATGTGGGGAGAAGGTGGCCAAAAGATGAAGTGTTGGCACTGATAAATCTCAGGTGCAATAGTGTAAACAACAACAACAATGAAGACAAAGAAGGGAACAAGGCTCCACTGTGGGAGAGAATCTCACAAGGGATGTCGGAGTTGGGGTACAAGAGAAGTGCAAAGAGATGCAAAGAGAAGTGGGAGAACATAAACAAGTACTTCAGGAAAACTAAGGATGCTAATAAGAAGAGGTCTCTTGATTCCAGGACTTGTCCCTACTTTCATCAATTGAGCAATCTGTATAATCAAGGGAAACTTGTTCTACAATCTGAAAGGTCCGAAAGCCACTTGACTCCACAGGGGAATTCCGACCAAGTGCCACAAGATCAAACCCAAATAGCTGAGTCTTCTTCTCAAGTGGGGTCTGCAGCTGCTGGTTTCAGTGTGCAGCAGGTTGATCATGGAGGTGAGAAAGCTTTGATGCAAGTACCTTCTTTGGATTTTGATCAGTTTTAATTCATTGATTTGTCCATTTTCTGTGACATAATAAGTACCACTTCTTTTGTAGCTTCTATATTTTTGTTTTCTTTTTTCTTTTGGTTGATGGTGGTTTTATTTTATATAGCATATAAATTGAATGTATATTTGAAAAACTTAGAATTTGGCGAGCACCGACAGCTAGCTTGATGAATGAGAACAATAGTTCTATTCGGGTGTAAGCGTAATTTTTATACTCCATTTGGTGTTTTTCTGTTTTTTAAGGGAGGGGGAATCCATTGACCTTTCATATATGTTTTAATAGGCAAGACATTGACCCTGTGAAGAAAATGAAGGAATAGAAGGCCAAACATTCTGTAGGACATTCTTCACTATACTAGCTAGGGACTGGAGCTAATAAAAGGTTAAAGGGATCAACAATGGTATTTATAAATTTATTTTTTAATTTTTTATCTTCTTAATTCTATTTTTATTACATGATATTATGACTTATTACATTTTTTTGGTTTTTTTTTAATCTGTCTCTTCTACCCACATCTTATACCCAAAAATAAGATGTATAACAATAATTTTTTTCAAGGGATTTTGGTCTTTTTAATCCAAGTACCAGAAGAAAAGTTTAGGTATTCAAGCAAAACTCCCGCCAAGAGTATTTATAATATCAAATATTTAAATTTTATTGTTTGAGGTTAACTTTGTTATCCTCCAAGTAATAATTAAATCCATACTCCTGGGGCCAAGTCATAAGAATTTATTCCTACGAGATAAAAAATCATTTTAAAGAAATAAATACTATTTACATACGGTAGTAATTTTACATTATTTTATTTCATGATTTTTATTTACTTTATTTGAAATGTATTTTTTATATATTAATATTAAAAATTTGTAGTAACCTTTTAGATTTTAAACAGTAATCATAAAATATTTTATTCAAAAATATTTCATAAGTGTATTTTTTTACATGTTTATTTTTTCTCTATTAATTTTGTTATATATTTATATTCGTTAACAATGTATTCTCTTCTTCTTCTTTTTTTTATCCTTATGTAAAAATATTATTATAAAAACATTAAAATATTAATAACATTAATTAACTATTTGAGTGCTGTTGGTATTGGCATTGGGGTAAAAATTTGGCTACTGAAAATAGTTAGTTAAGAGTCAACTAGCTGTGTTTATACCTTCCCGTACTTATGAGTTAAGACATGGCATCATAGTTCTAAATGAATGGTACCATACATTTCGATGGGTAGTTGTCAGTGCCTCACAGTGCATATATTTTCGTGCCAAAATCATTTTTGTTAATAGTTATTCTTTGTTGATTGATTATGTCTGCTTCATCCACAGTCTACCAATCCTCACTGCTTTGGGGGAATTTTAACTCCTAACCCGCCAATTAACTTCTTTTCTATTGCTATTTGAAAGGCCCTCTCATCAATGGTTGCCTATTTTTTCCTTGTTGCTATTTATTTAGCAACCCAGGTGGTTTGAAATATCTCAATCTACAGCACATAACCCATTCAGATCATGAGACTATGCTTTTTACTGTCCAAATAACACAGTACTCTCCATAATTAATATTTCCAATTAATGTTACAACGATTCAGCAGTGAATTTTGTGTAACATTCAATAGATATATAAATAATAAATTATTATAATGAAAATAATAAGTTATCATGGTCTGATGAACTTTTCTTTGTGTTTAATGTTCAACTGAGTAAAACATCCAGCAATTAAGGAGAGAGATTTGGTGGTCCTCAACAGTAAACAAGACTCTGAGATTTACTGAAAAGAAGATCATGAAACTATTTAAATAGTTTAATCACGTGTTTGATTCCATCCATGTGTTCAATTATTCACCAATTAAGTAACGAATAGCATAGTACGTGCATACACATACTTGTATTCATATATTAGTTTAGAATGGTACATGCATGCATGTTGATTTCATAGACTCTAATAAGGCATACACGAATCATGGAAGTTATGATGTTAGAAAGAACCAAATTACACTGCACCACAACACACCTTTTGTTTTCATTGTAGTATGCAGATTTACATGGAATCAATACTAAAAAAATATTGTACTCACAATTGTTAAGCATATGGTTCAAAGGTTAAATACTCATAATCTTAATATGTAGTTTTTATTTTCAATGTATTTCTTTATACTTTATCATGTTATCATTTGAACTTAAAATATTGTAGCAGTAACAAAATGATTGTAGTTCACAGAAAGACAAATTTGGTTGTGTCCAAACTCCAAAAGTTATTATTTTTTATAACCCTTAACCTAGCTTGGTTTGAATTTAGTTTAAGAGAGAGAGAGAAAAAATAAATGATTTTTTAAAATTACCTTTAACTGTGAGTTATTAAAATTCAGGAAAAGAGTAAAAAAAAGATTAAAACTCTTCTAAATATTTATCGTGAATAATTTTTATAAAAGATTATATAAGAAAATTTTAAAATATTAACATTTAAATAAGAAAGAGATTCAAAATTTCTTTCTTTCTTTATTATTTAAATCTTTAATTTTTTCTTTCTTTAAACTCTTAAACCAAATTTAAAAGATTAAATAAAAATATTTGTTGGACAAATAACAAAGCTTGTGTATTTACAAAACTACTTTTATAAAAGGAAAGTTTTTCATAAATTATATTTGAGTGTTTATGCCTTAAAATAAAAAAAATGTTTATACAATAAATATGATAAATAATATAATATAACATAAAAAAATTATAAAAAATAAAATATACAATGTTGATATTATTAAATTATATAAATTAAAGTTATTTACAAAATAATCTTAATTTATGCCAGATTGATGAGTGAAAAATCAATAACCCTAAGAACTTATTTGTTTCTCTTTTAATTTTTAAAAATTAATATTTTAAAACAATTTTAAAAAATTATTTTTAAATAAAAATTAAAATTATATTAATGCATAAAATGATTATTGTTCCATTTTAGTGTTTATGATTTTTCAATAACATGTTTATAATTAATGATAGAAATAGGTTGTATTCGGCTAAGCTTTGCGTAAATAAATTTGTTTTATTTAATAATTTTGAAGCTTTAAGCTTAATTTATTATCTATTATAAATTTTTTATTAAGTCTAATTTGACCTTTTTAAAAACTTGTTTTATTCTAATGTTTTTTAATAGCTTACCTTGAATCAAGACCCTTCAATAGCTATTAAGTATTTTTATAAATAAACAATTAAATTATTTAAATAAATTATAAAAAATAGTTTAACACTTTAAATATGTATAATAAAATTACATATTTTATTTTATCAAAATACGTAATTGAAATAACAAAGATGCAAATTAGCGTTATAAACTAATCAAATAATAGTAATTCAGAAGACTTCGATGAGTAAGACTCTCTCTCTTAGAAGATTCATAATATGAATACTCTTTAACTCTAATGAAAAGGATTAAAGTTTATAATTTAAAATTTAATTTATTTAATATGATATTAAATTATTTAATATATTATTATAAATTTTATGAATTTTAAGTAGACTTAATAGAATTTTTCTTAAACTTAAACCTACCTATTTAATTAATTAATCCTTTCAAAAAGTCTAAATTATATCTATTACTTAAATAGGTTAAGTTGGGTTAAATTTTAAAGAGGCTAAATTATAGGCATTGTCGAATAGTCTGAACTATTTTCATTCTCATTTGTAATAAATAATCAATAACTTGAAAAAATAACAATAAAATTACATGCTTAAAACATAATAAAAAATTCAATTAAAATAGTAAAAAAAAAGTGTTCTTAAAAAATGAAAAAAGAATAAAAATAAAATTATTATAATGAAAATTATTATCTTTGACTAAAATTATTATTTTAAAAATGTTTAAGATAAAATTTTATACATATTTTCATTCGATTTGAATTTTTTATTTAATTTATATATATATAAAGCAAGATTAAGTCTAAAATTTTTTATTGTTAATTAGAGTCTTTTATTTAATTTATATTTGATAAATTATAATTTATTATTTAATTGTCTATTAAATATAAATTAAATAAAAAATTTAAATTAAATATAATTTTTTTTAAATTTACAGTAAATTAAATATTACACTTATATATATATATTAAAAGGTTTGTAGCATTTAATTAGATGTGAGAGTATGAGAAAGTAGAGAGACATTACAGCGACAACACAGGGGATCCATACGGCGTAATGTTGCTGTTAGGGAAAGGGTCCCACCGTTGTCTTTTTAGTAGTAAAAATATATTTCAGGCTGGTTGGGCCCCACACCTATCTGTGCAATCAGACATCTCACACGCTGCCACGACGCACATCACGTCACATGTGCTACTGCTCTGCTCTCTGTTCTGCTCTCTTTTGTCTTCTTCTGTGTGCGCAAACGTCCACTAACACTTTCGCCCTTGCACGTGCATGAGTTGCTCCCACTCACTTCTTCACCATCTCACCCTGTTCACCTCATAAGTCAACGCAGTTCAACGATTTCTAGCCCAACCGACTTTTTAAACCTTTAGACCCCTGAATCCAATTTCAAGCATACACCCATTAATCAAATTTTATAATCTTTCTTGACATAATTCTTAATACAAATTATGTCATCCAATTAGTTAAATTAAAAAGGTCAGGGGATTGAGAACTAGTGTCCTGTGAGAATTAGTAAAAAATCAACTTTGTTGTTAAAAAATACAATAAAATACATTAAAAACAAATATAAAAATATATGAATAATATTTTTTATTAAAATTGTATTCTAAATTTCAAAAAATATATTGATCAGCATTTTTTAATAAAATAAAATGATGTAATATTTTATAAGTACCAATAAAAATAATGGTTTCAAATAAAAAGCAAACATCTTTTTAAAATATATAAGTTTTAAAATGTATATTACTCTTTTTATTTGATTTTATTATAATCAATTTTTAGGGTTAATTTTCAACATCTAAAGGTATTTGATTGGGGGAGGAATGGAAAGAGACAAAGAAATGGAAAAAGGGGGCAATAAAATTAAGTTAAAGTAAAAAGCCTTCAACAAGAGTTATTTTAAAAGTAAATTGATCTCAAGATAGAAAGAGGGTTAAAACTTTTTCTGCTCTGCAAAATTGCAACCAGAAGCTTCACTCCAATGTTAAGTTAATGAAAAAAAATATGTTTAAAATTTTAAAAATATATTAATATTGTTTATCATTTATTTTCTCAATTCTTTAATAAATATAATAATGGCTAGTATTCATCTTATAAAAGTTGATGTAGGCTCGCATTTATCTACTAAAAAACTTTCGTGGCATAATTAATTGAGTTTGATTAAAAAAATATGTTACAAGTTAAGGAAACGAAGGAGAAACTGTTAAGCAACACCAAAAATGGTACGAATTTGATAAGCCCAGCATACATGGCATGGCTTAGGTTCTCAAAATTCAAGATATATTGATTCGGCTTAGTCCAGTTTTAAAATTGAATGGTCCCTAAGAGTTAGACCCACAGTGGAATTAGTCATCAGGTTAGCCCAAATTTTTTCATACATATAATTTTTTGAATTCTTATTTAATTTTCCATTTTTAATAATGATAAATAAACGCATAAAAAATAAAAATATTTAAAATTAAAAAACATCTGTGATGAATTTTATCAAGTTATAAATATATAAAACGTCAAAAATCATTTTATAAAAATACAACTACATTATATATATTAGCGCAACTCAATTCAAAATTTTATTGGCATGCTCAAATTAACTCTTCGAAGACTGTTAATTAAACAATAGAATATTTATTATAAGGTTTCATACACATGTTTAGAAAAAAAAATTATTTCAAATTTTGAAAACCAATATTGTGAAATAACCTTAGATAATAAAATATTCTACACTGTACACGGTGACATAAATCGAAGCAAAATATTCATTATAAGTTAAGGATTAAATGTAACCTAATATTTTAAAGGTGAACTGCTAAAAAGTTTGGGCGCCTCGGTTCTCTTCCTTCAATTTCATGTGTACGCGTGTGTTATAATGAGTTTAAATTATGATTTAAGTTCATAAAAATAATTTTAGTAGATATTTGTGTGTATTATCAAACGATCCTTTTGAACTAGTACAAATATAATATTTTGATTAAAAGTTGGTTGCTAATTTTAGGAAAAGCCTTTTGTTTCAAAAAACTAAAAACACCATTCATCCCTTCCATTATGTTTATTTTGCTGTGTTATTTTTTTTCGAAGTCTGAAAAGATTCCTTGAAATGATCCTTTAATATTAAATATTATGTCCTTTAGTATGATATTTATCCCCTCATTTTAAAACAATTATCATTGAACAATTTCAAAATAACTAATAAAAATGTTTATTTTCCTTAATTTTGAGGAAATATAATTATATCCTTGTTAAATTACCACTTTACTCTGCCAGTAGTTTCTTGTTTTATTTAATGGAGATACAGAGAGAGAATATAAAATTATGTTAAACCATAAAATAACGACATCAATTAACAGCACATTACGATATTATTTAAAATTATAGGAATAATTATTTATTTCTAAATTTATGTAAAAATAGTTTTTTGAAAGCTAAATTTAATCCTAATTTAAGTAAAGTTAACTTGATATGAGTTGGTATGCACAACGAGTTTTAACAGGTAAAAGTTAAGCTGAGGGGTTGTTTGACCAAATGGACCCGGTTCTTAGAAAATGATTTGCTGGGTTTCTTTGATTTGGAAAAGAGTGGTGGATGATTCATGCGGTTTAATTAATTACGGAACATCTTTATCCACAGGAACCGAAATTTGCCGTTTAGGGCGCAACGTCGCTCTCTGGAGCGGTGCAGAGTTGACTGGTGAGTGGGTACAGTGTAGAGTACAGTGATGAGATTGTGGGAAGCCCGTCCACATTCTCCGTTTTATTTTGGTCCCTCCTTTAACCGCTGTCGTAATCCCAATTTATCCCACCGTCTTTTGCTTTTTATTTGTTTGAATTTAAACTTAGGTGGCTTCATGACTCGCACTTCCCGTGTCTCCTCACACCATGCCTATGTTAGACTTGTCCATTCCATGCCCATCAAAATTGGTAAGCATGATGGGATGTTCCACAAACATCAATTTGAATATGGGAAATGCAACCATGTTATTTGTTTGCTCATCGGAACAAAATAACGGAAACTATTACTTACAATGTTTAACACATTTTTAGATCTATAATAATATTTAATTGATAAAACATAAAGTATATTTCAATAAATTATTTATATAAATAATTGATATGACACAATATATCAAAATCTTGTAACAAAACTAATTAATGTGGTGAAAAAAATAAATATTATACCATCACGTAATATAATATTATTTTGATAAACAGTTATTTCGAATTATCTTTCAATGCAAAAGTTAACCAGTTTAATATAATTTATTAATTCTATTAAATTTACCATGAAATATATAAAACTATTTTCTGTTTGTTAAAAACTTATAATTTAGTTTTGCGTTGAGTATTGGTTAAATTGTGCTTATTTATTAAATATTTCAAAACAAACTATTTATGAAAACCTTGTTCGCTTACCAGTTTGAATTTTATCTCATTCAAAAGCTTAAACTCATCGATTTATATATAATAAGCCCATCATCTTCTGTAAAAGTAGCTTTTTTTTTAAATGAAATTTTAGGTTATACTAAACTTTTGAAAATAATAGTTTGATCATTAAGTAAAAATATCTATATATAAAATAAATAAGTAAAACATTAAAACGAAGAAAGTTTAAGACCTTATAAGTTATGGTAATTTAACACATTTTCACCACTTTTCGTGTCAGTAAAATTTCCCAACGGCTTTCATGAGCTTATTAATGACAAATTTTTTCTCATTTTCTTTTCTTAACTCGTTGACCATCAAAATAAATAGTTTTTATCTTTATAATTTGATTTTAAGGCATTATTAATTTGAGTGATATTTTGAACGTTGCTGTCACTCAACATATTCAAAGTTCAACAATAACACTGTTTCAACGAGTGTATTTTTATTTGTCCAAAGCAGTAGCTTAAAAACATTATGGTATGACAGCGTTATTCTTTTAAAAGATGACCAGCCCCATCCATCGGTCAACGGGAAATACTTTGGCCTTATAGTTCTGCAAGTTTGTAAAAAAATTTTAACACGGGGATAAACATACCTTGGTTAATTATGATGAACAAAGGGAAAATTACCTACACTGCAAAAATAAAACTTACATTTACCAGTCAATAAAATTTGTCAAATGTTAAGATAATATTTGTTAGTATAATATTTACTTAACAAAAATATTATCATTAATTTTAAAAATTGTATCAATAATATGATGTATTATACGCAACAGGAGCACGCCGTTTTCGAAGTGAGGTGGGTCTTCCTCTTTAACTCAATTTAACACCCACAATAAAGAATCCTTACCGGTGTATACCAATCCACTTTATGTTTGTTCCCTTTTGCAGATAGCCGCGAAGCAAGGCAAGGCAAAGCAAATGATAATTTTTCTAATTTTCTCTCATCCTATGAATGGTAATGAAGCCACGCATGCAATGTTTAGGAGGAGGGAAACATGATTATGTATTTAGACTTGCGTTGAATTCGAATTCATTATTTATAGTTTTAAAAGGAAATCTGCAAGTCTTATTGCACCTACCATTTGTTTAATTTTATAATTAGTTATCCTGTCTGATATTTGAATTACACTTGACAACAAATGTTAGAGCGTGAGAACGCAGATCAACCACGAGACATAATCTGACAGAGACAACACGCACCCATTCCACGGTCCACAAGAGTTGCTAAAAAATTTTGATTACTCAACGTACAAAGAAAAGGAGAAAAGAAAAAGTACAATGGTGTTAATGATATTTTGATTAAAATAAATTATAAAAAAAAGGGAGAGGAAGGAATGCTGAAGAGAAGGGAGGTGATTGAGAAGAGGTGGTTGAGACTCGAGATGGGGACATGTAGAGGGGGTAGACGCAAACAACAAAGGTGCGTGTCCCACTGCGCTTTCCCATATCTACTTCCCCCCTCTAACAAAATTAATCTTCCGAGTAAGCATTAAAAAAAAAAGCTATTACATCAATTTTAGTCCTTGCTTTGCAGAGTTAATAAATGATTCTTGGGTTCAGTTTAAGTCAAAAATATATCTGTTAGAGACTGAGTAAATTAATACTTGATTTATTTTTTCATGGATTATTTTAAAAAATTAAAGAGCATGATTGAAATCATTTATTTTAAGAATTAAATTAAGTTTATTATTTTTTAATTGAATTAGGTGTTTACTCTTAATCTTATATATAATTTAATCTATTTTACTAAGACTTCTTTATATATATATATATATATATATATACAATACAATCTTTATAATCTTGTTACCCAGTCACCATAAGAATGTTTATAAAGAAAAAAATATTGTAAAGGCACAAAAGTCATTCTATTTAAAGAAACTTGGATAAGAAAATTTTTTAGATAGTCTGGAAGCGTATGATCTCGGCCACTGATATTTAGTTATATATCAAAAATAGATACATATTGATCATAACCATTGGAAGAGTATCGACGTACAATTTTATTTTCTTTTCTGATTTGACTTCATTTCATATCTTATTATTCATTCATCTTGTGTGCTTAGATTGGGACTAACAATAAGTAAAATTCTATCAGGTAATATATTAACTACTAAAGAAAATTTAAAAGAAAAAGAAATATGATACCCAATTAAAGTCTCAAACCGAACTATCATAATTTTCAACTGTCATTTCTCTTCCCCCCTTAATTGTTTCATTAAATCTTTCAGTATTATAGTAAAATTCATGTAATAATTTTTTAAAAATTTTTAATTTTCCCTTTTAACGAGCATCGTTGATATTTTATCCTAGGACGTGCATCCTCGTGAGGAGAGAGCCAAATTCTTCTTAAGTGATATTTTTAAAACAAAGCCCAATAAATCATACTAGGGTATTTAAGAGGAGTGTGTCCGTGAGACAACCTACCTTTCAATTTTTTACTATTTTCTCTCGGTTTCTGCTTCTTTTCACAAAACAGGAAACAAAAGCGTCGTAATAATCACTCTCATTTTATTTATTGGAAAAAAATAATTGAGTTTAGTTTTAATTTCACCCATCATGTTCCCTCGTTCACTCCCATCTCTCTCTTGCATTTTGGCAAAGTAAATTTCTCTCTCTTCCTCACGGGACAGCGGTTTAGACTATTAGTCTCAACTCTCAACTCTCAACTCTCTCTCTCTCTCTCTATCAACCCAAGTTGTTTTAATAAATATAATAAATAACATTACAATGCAATCTCTCTATCGATTTGTCCTTTTCTTTCTCTGATTGAGAATGGCCAAAGAGCTTCTTCTGCAACTTCGTCTGCTTCTTCTTCTTCCCGAACAACGGTGTCGTTTTGCAGTTCCTCTGCCAATGTTCCGCTTCGCATTCTCCGCTTTCTAGCTCCTCTTCCCTCACCATTGTCGATCCGTTCAACATCTTGCTTCTTACATCCACCGACTCACTCAACTCAGGTGCATTTTGCCTTTTCCTTTCATTTCTGCTACTGATTCAACTCTTCTCCTTGCTATTTTCTTACTACTCAGATTATTATTATTATTATTATTTCCTGGTTCAAAGCTTAGATTAGATTTCTCGTTGTCTTCTTCGTTTGCACTCTTCGCATTCACTTCAATATTACTGTTTACTTCTTGTGCATTTGACTTCACTGCCTTTGATTCGTTGCCTGTAACGCTTTTGCTGCTTTATATTTCTGTAACTGCTTAAAGACGAGTGCTGTGTTTTCAACAAATGTAGGTGATCAAGCAAATCATGCGTAGTGATCTTATTATAACCTCTAATTTTTACCACTTCTAGTAGTGAAGCATGATTTGTGCCTCGTCGTGCCGTTTATGGTGAAACGGAGAAGCGTTTTACGACGTACATTCTCTAGATTTCTCGCCTATAAATGGAAAGACACTTTTTCTTTACGTGAATCATTTTTGTGGTGGATTCTATTCATCAAGTTGTTACCGCACTGGTTATTCATCTTTTGCGCATAACTTAGTGTGATCTATGGTTATTTACTTCTCTTTAACCTTGTGATCTTATTGTTCTTTATCCTATATTTGACCAACATTGCTTACCTGGTCTTTGACTACATTATTTGCTCTCTTTTTGTTTTTCTTTTGATTATCGATTACTATTTGTTGGTTTCTCTTTGCGGAATAGTCACCGTTGTATTGCACTGTACTTTTCTTATTCTACCTTGAGAAAGGAGAAAGGGGAAAGGTTAACTTACTAGCATTTGCAATTCTTGAGTGACTTGGCTGCTAGTGTTGTTTCCCTTCCTAGACACTTACTGCGGTACAATAATTGTCTATCAACTCGTTTTTTGTCATTTAATATTTTAGTGAGGATTTAATGTGCTTGATTTGGTCTGTATCCAGGGGAGGGAGTTCTCTTACTAATTTGATGACATGGAGCAGTATGAAATACTAGAACAAATTGGAAAAGGTGCTTTTGGTTCTGCGCTTCTTGTGAGACATAAGCATGAAAAGAAAAAGTGAGAACAGAACCTACCTTACTTAGTTACTTCTCTCTTTTATCTGTTTCTTTTCACTTTGTGTACTTTGATGTTTAGATGACAACGTTTGTGATTCCACAAATCATTACTGGTGATGCTTTTTAACTTCTGTCTTTTGATTGTATAGATATGTCTTGAAGAAGATTCGCCTTGCCCGCCAAACGGAGCGTTCTCGCAGATCTGCCCACCTGGAGGTTGGTGCTTCAAATAGTGATTCAACTAGAGGACTAAGTGATTATCTTGTGTCTTTTTTGCTGTATTCTAAAATATTTTTCTTTGCTTGCTGCATGATGCATTGTTTGTATTCTAGTTCTAATGGGTTTAAAGACAAGTTTCAGACCTCAATACGAAAATTAGGCTGTAAACTTAGCAGCGGCTACTGAAATGCTGACGTGAAATTATTTGTGAATATGTATGATTCACAGGTTAGTTCTAACATATTTATTTCGTATGGCCTGTATAGATGGAGCTCATTTCTAAGTTACGAAACCCATTCATTGTGGAGTACAAAGATTCATGGGTAGAAAAGGTATTTTCTTTAGTTTTTACATCTCTTCATCTCCTCAGCCAATTATAAGAATGGCTTCTACTAGCTGGTTACCAAAATTAAGCTTCTATTGTAGGATTGCTAGGAAAAATCTTGGTGTATGCATTGTAAAAACTCTCAGGATGTTTAAATTTTGATCTATTTTTTCTCCTTCCTTCTCAGGGTTGCTATGTCTGCATTATTATAGGTTACTGTGAGGGTGGAGATATGTAAGTCTTGTTTGTCTAACTTAAGCATACAATTTATAGTTGTTTTCTTCCAACCCTTGTAAATTGGAATGTGAATGTTTTTCAAAATACATCATTGATGTAACACAGGGCAGAAGCTATAAAGAAAGCTAATGGTGTCCTGTTTCCTGAAGAGGTTATTTTGAATTTTTTTCTCCTGCCAGAAATTTTAATCTTTGTCATTAAACAATAATGAGGATAACATTTAAATTTTTGCATCTAAAGTCTAAATATGGCCATTTGTTTGCAGAAACTTTGTAAGTGGCTTGTTCAACTTCTTATGGCTCTTGAGTACTTGCACATGAACCACATTCTTCACCGTGATGTCAAGGTTAGCAGCAGATTGACTTCTCTTTGTATATAGCAGTGATATTTCCTTTTCCATCTAATTTATTTATTGAGCCATATGCTGATGAGAGAATCACATGATTCTATCAGTGTTCAAATATCTTCTTGACAAAAGATCATGACATACGTCTGGGTAAGTTATTCTATGGTTCCTTTAAATAAGGCATAGGTGATTGAAATTTTGTTTACAAGTGATCAATGATGAAGCAGGTGATTTTGGACTTGCGAAAATGTTGACTTCTGATGATCTTGCTTCCTCTGTAAGATATGCATAACATTGAATTGAATTGAATTTAGTTTCTTTATCATAACTTCAACATGACTACTTGTTCTTGTGAATGAGTCATTGTCTTGTAGGTTGTGGGAACTCCTAGCTACATGTGCCCTGAGCTCCTTGCTGATATACCTTATGGTTCTAAATCAGATATTTGGTCCTTGGGTAAGTACTTGTGTTATGGTTTTGTTCTTTATTAAGTTTCTATTATTGGTTTATTATGTATGTATGATCTCTGAAATCGATTATCCAGGATGTTGTATATATGAAATGACAGCACATAAGCCTGCATTCAAAGCATTCGTAAGTTTCTTTTTTTATCAAAAAGGTTTTGTGTCTGTAATTTTCATTTTGGAACATATTTAATACCTTCATCTCTGCTGTTGGATGAACATGTTTGCTAATCAATTTGACTATCATCAAACTACCTTGTTTGGACATGTATATTGTTTTCTTTGGGCTGACAACTAGTCTAAAATTCTCTTATTCAGTTTTTCACAACATATTATCATTATCAGCAGCACTCATTTAGCTGCATGATTATACCTATATAAAGTATCAAATTTGATATATATTTACTGTTTTCATAGCTTTTCTGTATATTTTTGGAATTGCCTAATTATCTTTCAATTTCTTTGAACAGGATATACAGGCATTGATTAACAAGATTAACAAGTCCATAGTGGCACCACTCCCAACTAAATATTCTAGTTCATTGTAAGCCCATATTCTTTCAGGATATAGTTACTTAATATTGCCGTTTGCAAATTGCCTTGTCATGTTTTATGCTGTAGAATTTAGCATTTGACTTAGTCCCTAAAGTTGTTCAGACCTAACTGGTGTGGGTTGTAGGCAAAGACAATTCAGAGCGAGGTTTCTTGCTGATTTATAGTAATCAAGTATTAATATTATGGATTATATGATTGATGATTAATCTAGTCATGTTTGTTTTTGCTTTTGGCAGTCGAGGTCTTGTTAAAAGTATGCTGCGGAAAAATCCAGAGCTTAGGCCCAGTGTATGTACAGTTCTCCTCTGACCTTGAATAATTCAATGGACTGCAATGGTGCAACATCTAGCACCCTTTTTTGTTTTCTTTATGATTGAATCAATTCTGGAATTGATGCAGAAATTTATGTTATTATATGAAGAACAAGCATTCAATTCAACCAACATTCCTCAAAATTTGTTGTATTTGAGATGTAATTGGTCCATGACATGTATTCTAACTTTCCTCACTAAACTCTGTTTTCTTCACTCTGAATGGAGTGTCTTAGGCTTTGATCAGAATAACGAATCTCTCTTGGCTTGTCTATGAGTTGGGTTGATGAGTCATTTTGCATTAAATTTTATTGTGATTTTCGTTTCAGCCTATCATCCTTTTATATAAATGCATCTTATTTGATACAATAAAAGTCTTTTTAGTGCTACATTGCATCAATTAAATGCAAGGGAACGTGATAGGCAAACAGGGTATCTAAATGGATAGGGAAAGAGTACCTAAACACTAGCAAAATTTTTAAAACAGAATAAATGATACTAAACTTCATAATATGAAGTCCTCGTGTCACCTCAGACTTCTTACCTTCTTTTAAATGCTTTTCACACAAAGGTTATGCTTATGAAGGAGAATAGTCTGCGTCTCTTAATTTTGAAGGGCGAGAATATGCCATTTTGCCATTTAGGTATCTTGCTGTAGTTGTGACTGTTATGTCATCATCACCCTTCTTATCCTCCAAGGCTCCATCAGTTAAATTGACAATTACAGTAGTTCCTTAATTATTTTGATATGATATGCAAGTGTCCAGGACTATGTACTACACAATTTCCAAAAGTTGAAAGCCTCTTTTTTATTTTAAAGACAGGCGAAGAGAAAAAAAATTAAAAGCTATACAATCAATTCTCTATTTTTAGAAATGGTGAAAATGTAACATACTACACTGTGTTTACTGATTAATCTAATGTTATGATAACTGTTGCCACTGCCTACATGACAGTAATGATTCTTGTTAGCTGTGTGCAATCTAATTTGTTTTGTCAAATGTCTTGTCTAGCTTCTTAATCCTTTGTCTGCATAGATTTTCTTGTCTGGCATCTGCCTCTATTCATCATGCTTAATTTTACCAGTGATTGTGGGCGTGGCCTTGTTGGCAGCTGTCATGCAATGTTCTTACCCATCTAATTTCAAATCTGATCTGTCACACGTACCTATTTTCTCATTTGAAGTGTAACTTCTGGTGATAGGCTTCAGAACTGCTTGGGCACAGACATCTTCAACCTTATGTGCTGAAGGTCCATCTCAAAATCAACAGTCCCAGGCGAAGTACTATGCCAGTTCATTGGCCAGAGTCCAACTACGTGAAGAAAACTAGGTTTTTGTTGCCAGACGATGATCCCATTTCCATCTATAGGGATAAGCGTCATTCTTTCAGCAATGATCGGACTCTAAATCCTAGTGTATCTGGAGCTGATCAAGATTCTGTATGCTCTACCCTAGAAATAGATTGTACTCCTGACCAATTTAATCAAAGGTTAGCCGAACTTGGAATCAGAGATAGCCATGAAGTGAAGTCAACCCAGAAGCCTGTTGGTTCCAGAAATTCTAGTATCACTAAGACTCCAAGATTCACTTCCTCGAAAGTCTCTACCAACAAAAAGAAATCTATGGAATCCCCTAAGAATCGTAAGGTGGTAAGGCAAGCTGTAAATCCATTATGTTTTCACGTGACTTTGGCTGCTTCTTTGAGTTGGGGATGTAGGAATGTTTGCCAATTTATTCATTAAACAAAGTTAAGCATGTCACCTTTGTTAAACGGGCATTTTACAGTGGACCACTCCTGAACGGCTGGACCTGTATTGGTATATTTCTAAAGAATGGGGTGGTTATTTGAACTCCAATAATATGTAGCCAGCCAAATGACAATAACCTCAACTTATGTATCCAAATAATAATTTTTTTTGTCTGACTTTGTAAAGTCTCTGGTTGCAGCTTGCTCTTCCACAGAACACCACAAAATCTGCTCATACAAATCGCAGAGCATCATTTCCGCTGCCAACAAGTGGTGGTATTCAACAGCCTCCTTGCTGGAATAATGTCAGTTTGCTTAGCCATGTGTCTTCACCGGATATCTCAGTCAATTCTCCACGAATTGATAAGATGGCTGAATTCCCACTAACTGTATATGAAGATTCTTTGTTCCCTATCAGTAGAACATCACCCTCTGCGCAAGGTTCCTCAGGCTTTCCATCTCGTGGCAATCATTCGACTGTGGTAGACAAATGCACCGTCGAGGAATATGATACAACCTCTAATAGGCCTAGTTGTATGGATACTTGGCAGGGAATCAAACAGAGCATGCTAAAGGAAAATGATGAGGATAAAAGTGGTTCCTCTGATCAAAATGCAACAGCAGGTGCTTCGAGCCGCACTTCTTCAGACTTGCGCCGACACCAATTTGACACTTCATCATACCAACAAAGGGCTGAAGCCTTAGAAGGGTTGCTTGAATTTAGTGCAAGATTGCTACAGCAGGCGAGGTATGATGAACTTGGGGTACTGTTGAAACCATTTGGTCCTGGAAAAGTTTCTCCAAGAGAAACTGCTATATGGTTAAGCAAGAGCTTCAAGGAGAACACTTTCAACCCAGACGAATCTCTGTAAACTGCTGTAATGTTAACTGTAGTCATACTTTTATAGTTCAGTGTTTTTCCTTACACGACAGTTTAGCTAGCTGATTTTTGTAGGTTATCACATTTTTTTCATTTACCCTTTTCTGTTCACTTCACCCAATAATGATAACTCAAACTTTCAAACTGATCAATGGAGCAGATGATACAGTTTCATGATTCTAAATTTCTAATCCTTTTCCTTTTCAGAATTTGTTGTCTTACATTTTTCTTTTTACCGAATAGACACTACACCGGATAAATTGATGTCTGATCCAAAACAGTGCCAGATTTTGGCCTTGAGCAGAGACACAACGGTATGTAATCAAACAGGTCGTATACTTGGGACATTTGTCTTTGGTCCTAATGGCACCGCAAACTTCTTTTGGGTAAACAACACCAAAAACATTTTACTGTTGTAACTTGTTTCCTTGCAGTGCTGGGTGTTGTTTTCATCGCTACTGCCTGTGTTAAAGCGTAAATACAAAATTGTTCTCAATAAAGGCAAATTAATTATGCTCCTTGATGTTAACACGTGAAAAATGATAGGGCAATGTTAAGGAAGCGATGAGAAAATATTTTGTGATTTTTTTATGTGGAGGTAGTAAGGAAGACTTCACCTAAAAAATGAAGGGGGAAAGACGATGCAACAAAAAGGGTTAATCATGTTTCAGTTATATGTTTATGCTTTCTCTTTAGAAAGCCATTCTGTTGGTGTGTATGGGGATAGAAAAATTTGTGATAAATTTCATGTTTATTCAAGTATTTATTGAATTTTAAATATTCTTTAGCATTATTCGATTGGAAAGCTTTAATTTTGGTTCTAAGTTAATACTCAACAGTGGTTTTAAATTATAAAAAGGCATTGAAAGCTTGAGATTTATTATTTTAAAAAAAGATCCAAGTATACTAAAAATAAGCATCTACGAAGACAATGTAGTATCTGACTCCACTAGAAGAGGAAATAGGAGAGAGTCCCCAAATGTCACTAAACACTAATTCTAAGGGAGAGAAGTATACAAAATTTGAATTATCAAAGGGAAGTTGGTATGACTTTCCCATATAGCAAGCTTGACATAAAAGAGAATTAGAACTATGTGTAAAAGGAACTCGACATTGTTGCATAATAGTTTTGACCACTTTGAGGGACGGATGACCCAATCTTACATGCCAAAGATATATGTGTTTGACAAGAGAATCCTTAACGTAATTATAGGCTGAATAGGGAGAAGCATGAGGTCATCTTTAAGCCTGTCTTGAAGAACCAGTTCCTTAGTATCCTGAGTTTTGACATTAAAATAAGTGAGATAAAATTCAAAGAAGATATGGTTATTATGTGCAAATTTAGAAACACTGAGAAGATTTTTAGTTATGCTGGGAACATGCAAGAGTTGATCTAGTATGACACGTTTAGAAGAAGAAGGAATATAAAATGTTGATTGTCTAACATGCTTATCAAACCTGTACCATTCCCTATTCTGACACAATCTGATCCTTGATAATCTGACTTGAGAGAGAGGTTGGTTTCATTATGAGTTATGTGATGAGAAGCTCCACTATCGGGGTACCAAGAGGATCCATGACAGTGGAGGGAGTGACAAGCATGTGTTTATCATATTGCATATTGGATTGAGCATTATACTGAGTATTGTGAGCTTGGGGTCCTCCTTGATATTCTTGATTGAACCTGTGCCAACAATCTATAGCTAGGTGTCCTAGTTTGCCACAAATTTGACATTGTTGTCTGGATTGGTTCCATGTATGTTGATTGTTGAGAGCCTAATTTCCTCTACCATTGCTTTCGCCATTGAAGAATCTACCACCTCGATTATTGTTGAAGTTTCCCCTGAAATTATTCCTACCTCCGCGATTATTTTAACCTCTCCTGAATGATTAAGAGTTAGTTTTGCCTCGGCCTAAATCAACAGTGTTTTCCTGAATTAAAGCACTCTCTTGTTTCTTATGTTTGTCGAGTCTTCCTTCTCGAGCTAGAAGTAGGGTTTCGATGTCATAAACTAAGTAAAGGTCTAACCTGGAAGTGATGGAGGTGACAAAGGAATCAAACTCCTCAGGTAGCCCATCTAGAATAGATTCAATATGGTCTTCATCAGAGATTGGGAAGCTTATCGCTGCAAGAGAATATATGATTCTTTTGATTTCTAATAGGTATTCATTTACTGATTTTTCTTTCTTGGTCATTCTAAGTTGAACTTTTAATTTCTTGACTTTGACTCTTGTTTGTGATGCATAATAATTCTATAGTATTTTCAGAATTGATGAGCGTTTACCAAACCAACCATCTTGGTGAGGATTGGGGAGGACATTAATGCTAACAACCATGCAACAAGAAGCTGATCTTGTTGGTCATAGTTAAGATATGTTTCTTGAATCTTGCCACTGGCTTCCTCTTCTTGGAAGCAAATTTTTCTGGAATATCATCTCCTTGGATGTATTTTTGAAGTTTCAACCCGCGAATTATGGCCAACACTTGTTGCCATAATAGAAAGTTCTCATCATCTAGTTTGATGGAGATGTGTGTTGTGAGATTTTGAAGAGTGGATTGGGTTGCAGAAGCCATGAATGTACATGCTCTATGATACCATATTAAGGATTATGAGCTCATGGAGATAGAACAAAATGTAACGATGAGAAAATGTTTTGTGATTTTTTTATATCTTGAGAATACATCTATAACAACTTGATATAAACAGATAACATAATGAAACTAACTGGTAGTTATCCTTTTTCCTTGACAAACAACTTTTCCTTTTTACTTCCAGCATTTGAGATTGAGAACAATAGTTTCATTCTTCATGATAATTTTTCTTTTGTGCTTTATTGGTGATTATGGCGCATCAACTAACTATTGAAAATCCTGCTATTTCTTGCTACCTACATCATGTTGATTCTACATGTGCATCTTTGGGGTATCAACCTTTACAATTGGATAATTGTAAATTACGAAGTGGATCTATGAAGATGGCTCTTCTTGCCAAAAATAAATTTGGCTTTCTTGATGATTCAATTTCTAAATCATCTGAAAATAACCTTGATCTTCTCCTTACTTGGGAGAGGAATAACAACATCATTAGCATATGATTGCTTAGTTTTATTTTGAAATAACTTGTTTTGAGCGTGATTTATGTAACTTTGGTTTGTTTTGATTGTGATCTATGTGGACTTTGGTTCAATAATTTTGGTTGATATTTCTGGGTGTTTTTAGCAACACAATGGCCCTAGGGTTTATCAACTTCACAAGGAAACTTCTTCTTTGATGCAAGGAAGTCTTAATGTGAACCAATATTTTATAAAACTAAAGCACTTTGAGAGTTTTTCGAACTCAAGCCTTCTTATCATTGCACTTATGGTGGTGATCAACTATTGATTGATCATTTTAAACAAGAGTATGTGCTTACTTTCTTGATGGGTTTCAATGAGTGTCATTCTCAAGTTTGAAGTCAAATTCCCATTATGGATCCTCTCCCACCAATTACACGTGCCTTTTCTCTTATTTTTCAAGATGAATGACAACAATAAATAGGAATATCTCTAGTTGTTGATTCTTCCTAATAAGGCCAAAGTTTCTGTTCACTCTATAAGAACTATTGTATTGAATTTTTTGGAAAATGTTTTCTACATTCATAATTTTCAAGTTAACCTTTCTCGGTTAGTAGGTTATTGTCTGATTCTACATTTAAACTCATATTCTTTTATGATTCTTTTATATATAGGATGATAATCACTCAAAAATGATTGGTATGAGTGAATTAGCGAGGTAATTGTATATTCTAAAATCTAGTTATAATTTTATTTACTTGTAATTCTAATATGATTGTTTGATACGTGTAATATCATTTCAAATAAAGAGTCTTTTCAACTGTGGCATACTGATGAATTCATATTTTATTGAATTTTTACTAACTTTTTTAGTGTTCTTTAATAGAAAAAGCAAACTTAGAAAGTGTAAATAAAATAAAAATTTCATTTAGGTCAAATATCATAGATTTTTTAATTTCTGGTTAATTTACACTTATTTGCATAAATATAGTTTGTAATTTTGATTATCTGAATAATTATGCAGGAATTTCTAGACTTATTCTATAAAATTTTAGCCTTTGAGAAAATTTGAGGTGAAAGTGACCACTTTCAGAAATGATAGTGGACATTACAGCAAGATAGATCTAGATGACAGACCAAAGTGATCACTTTCAGAGGTGATAGTGGATACTTCAGAGAGTCTAGATTGCAATAGACCTGCGCTTAGTCACTATCAGAAGTGATAGTGGACATTACAGCAAGTTAGATCCAGAGGACAGACCAAAGTGATCACTTTCAGAGGTGATAGTGGATACTTCAGAGAGTCCAGATTGCAATAGACCTGTGCTTAGTCACTATCAGAAGTGATAGTGACAACTACAACAAGACCCAAACTGACGCAGAGCTGTGCGTAGCCACTTTCACCTATCATAGTTGCTACGCGTAGTACGCGTAGCCATTATCACTTACCATAATGACAACTACAGAGAAGGAATGAAAGGACTGGGAAGCTGCGTGTAGCTACTATCACTTATGATAGTAGCTACTATGGATGACGTCTATTTGACTATAAATAGATTTTTGCAAATTAGGGTTCACAACTTTTTATACTTTTAGATTTTTGCTATTTTGAAAACACTTGGAGAGCTTAGGTCAGCCTTGGGTGACAGTCAAGGATTCAACCTAGGGTTTGATTTCTACTTTCTCCTTCCTTCTCTTTGATTTTTACATTGATGTTATTGATATCTCTTCACGTTCACTTTGTAATTGTAGAACCCATCCTCATAGAGGGCTAAACCTTTTGTAATCCCTAGTGAGTTCATTTAGATTCTTGAATTCTTGGGTTTTGAATGTTAATATAATTCCTTTTCTTCCATGAATTTCTTCTTCATAATATCTTGAATTGAATTAATGGTTGAATGAGGGGGACATTGCTTAATTAACCCTAATTTGTTTTAATGAGATTTTAAACTTGAATTGGTTAATTTTAGGTTTATTTCTAAGGTTGCATAATCTTGGGAAGAGAGATTGGAGTCCATTGAATTACTTAATTCGTATGGAAATATAAAGTTGATTTTTCTAC